CAAAAATCAGCGTAATATTTTTCAAATTTTCACAGGACTAGTTTCGATGGTTTTACTGAACCATCATCCTCAGCTGCAAAAGCGCAAATGAACGAGATAAGATAAGAAAGCCTGGACAGGAGATAAGCTACTGGCGCCATCTATTGATGAAACCAGAAATAAAGCATAATTTCTTTAAAAGCTGAAGGCAAAGATGGATTAGAATTAGGGTAGTTAACTAGAACAGAAAGATTTTTTTTAATGTAAAATGCCTCTTGTTGGTGATGTAACTACTACTATAATGCAGTAACAACATTTATAGTTTTTAACTACTTCTTAAATGCGAAATAAACATTTATAATTCTAAAATGTAATCTAAATCATATTTATTTACTGCTACTCACGACTAGCAGTACTTACAGCAACTGTGAGAAAAGTTCACGATTGTATTAGAATATTTGCAACTTTGTTCTGGATATTGTATTTTAGAATAAACTGCGAAAATTCAAAAAGACCGCCCTTTCATGTTCCTGTGTTGATTTCCCGAGCGATAATGGAAATAAAATTCTGGAATATTTCTCTCTTACAGGGAATTTTTTTTTTTTTTTTTTTTTTTTAACATTGCCATGATCAAAATTCAGTGAACGTTCGTAGTTTGCATTGAAAAGTTTCGACGGAATGAAAAAGGTATAAGAGTATATAGCTGATGAAATCACGTGATGATTTTTTTTTTTTCAGAAATTTAACTAAAGTAAAAACTCTTTTTCTTTTCAATTCTGTAGTAATGCAAATAATAATTAAGAGGTTAATGGTTAGATAGGACATGTACGAATTAAATAATTCATTATTAATAGTTTAATCAGTAGGCAATGAACAGCATGTATTTTTAAGAATCATTAGACAATGAGCAGCTTCAAGAAAGTTAATATTTAGCCAGTTAATAATGAATAGTTTATTAATAGTTAAAGTTGATAGTATAGTTAGGAAATTAATAGTTTAATTAATACAGAAAGAATAGTTAATTAATTTAAGAATCATTAGACATTTTATGAACATTTATAAACTTAATAGTTTTGATATAGTTATTAGTTATATGATTAATATTTAATATTAATTATAGGCGATTAACAGTTAGGAGTTTAGTTATTAGAGAATTAGTAGTTTTTAGCTTTGAGGACCTTTAGACAATTAATAAATAGTTAGATAATAATTAATTAAGAGTTAATTATTGCATAGTTCAGAGTTATAATTAGGCAATTAAACGTTAGTTGTTTGTAAGTATGAGAATCAATACATAATGAATAGTTTCAAGAATGCTAATAGTTTGGCAGTTAATAATTAATCGTTTAGTAAGAGTTAAACATTTAATATTTATAGTTAGAAAATTAAGAGTTTAATTAGTACACAGTTCACTTTGAAAATCATTTGACAACAGGACTTTTTCATACCATTTCAGACATAGCGATATTTCGGTAACCTGTCTAGTAGGGTTGTAGGAATTAAATTCAGTTTCCGGATCATCTACATCTTTACAAAGTGAATTCCCACGATTTTTAAACGCTTCTCTTGGATTAATCCTTGTCCTGGACGCTTGTATTATATAGAGAACAACAACAAGAGCGGCAGATTAATCTGCTCCTAAGATCCTAAGAGGCTGTACAGCTTCACCCAAAGACCACCTCCCGTCATGTTAGGTGCTGCTGCAACGACTTCTTAGGTATGCTTCTTCGTAACAGAAGATGAGTAATTAAAGCAATTATTTGTGGCTTATCGAGGGTAGATCATACTTCAGTTGAGATATCATCGGTGCCGCCTAACACCTCTTTGCCACTCACGATCTTGCGTCTGTGTCTGAACGTTGAACCCTCTTTATACATTGTAAACGAGAGTATGATGAATTAGAATACTATCCTAAGACACAATTGGTGGTGGTAAGAGTTTTTTTTAAGAAAGAGAATGAAAAATTAGTTCTCGAGTAATAATCTGCTGCAGAAATGAAAATGCGATGATTGGGTCCTCCCCTCCTTCTCCAAAGCGGGGGATGCCTCATACTTTTCATTCGATTCCTATCTCAAGAAAGTTTCATTGCTGACACCCCTTCCCGAAAGAAAAAGGCATAAAGTTAATTTTGATGTGAATGAACAGCGTAAGTTAATTGGGGATATTTTTTATTGGAAAGGCCGCTCATTTTTGCGTTGCTGAGAGAGATTTCACCTTAATTTTTGAAGTCTTTCTAAACGTTTTCTCTGTTCTGGGTTTTCTGAATGACAGTGTTATAGCAGTATAAAAAAATGCGAATTAGTAATAATAGATAAATATAGAAAAATACAAAGTAATAATAGTGTTGTAGAGTGTAGCACTACATAAATAAAATACAGAGTGTTATTAATAGTAGAGAAATATCGAAAAATACTAATATTATTACAAATTAAACATTATTAATACAATTAATATTTCTCTACTATGAATATAGAAATGTTAATAGTGGGTAGGTGGATGGATGGACGGACAACAAAGCTGCGGAATAACCGATTTAAACAGGGACATATTAACCAACTTTCAGATTAAGCCAGGAGCATGTTACAAACATGTTAGCATGTTAAATTTTAAGTCAAATTTGTTACAAAATTTTATCACAATCCGTGTAGTAATTCCAAATATCAGTTTCAGAAGCAGAACAGCGTTGAATTTAGTTGCTGTGTTTGTTTCAGAAACAATACTGCGTTGTGGATACTCATATTCTTAGTTTCAGGAGAGAAATATTACGTTATGTGCAGTCACTCAAAATGCCAGTTTCGGAAACAGTATTACTTATTATACATATTGCGTTATATAATCGAAATACTAGTTTCAGAAGCAATATTGCGTTATGTGCAATCACTCAAAATGTCAGTTTCGAAAGCAATATAGTTCTGTTGCTGATTTTTGAAACAATATTGTGTTATATATTGTCATGTTTCGTTTCAAGAGCAATATTGCGTTATGCTAATTAACTATTACTAGAAAAGAGTAATCAAATATAGCAAACAGAAATCGAGTATCTAAAGCATTTATTACTATAAAACAAGAATCAAATATATAATACAGTTATCAAATACATGAAACAAAAAAAATCTTAAAGGTTTCAGATTTTAAATTACGTCCAAAGGGGTTTTTTTTTAAACGCTTTGTGTGATACCTTTATTTATTAAATATCATATTCTTTGCACTTAAACCATAAAATTCAGTTCAAGAGCAATATCGTAGAATAATTTTAAAATGAGGATATATCTTTAGAATTTCCGATACACAGTCTCGGGCCCTGGAGATAAGAATGTTTTTTTCTGTACAACGTTGCCGTTGCTCACTTTGAAATCCTTGAGTTTGTTGATCAAAAATTCGTCAAAGTTTTACAAAATATGAAATCGATAATAAAACAAATTTCAAATTTGGGCTTTCAGATGCACATATTCGCAGGAAGATTACGTTATTCAAAATTGGATGGCTCTATGTACCGTTGTTTTATCACAATGCGAGAAATATGCATACATTTATGCATACATTTATGCAGATTTTTCAATATTTAATTTCTTTAAATATAATACAAGGCAATAATGTTTGGTGGAAACAATTTGAAAAGCGAAACAACGCTTGTAGTGAATCAACTCAAAATGCCGAAACGAAATCAATAGCCCTTCTGAGCAAACTGCACTTTGGACTAATTATTATTATAAAACTATAATCAAATATCTAAAACAAGAATCAAGTATATGAAATAATAATCAAATATCAAAAACAAGAATTAATATATAAAATAATAATCAAATATCTAAAACACGAATTAAGTATATAAAACAATAATCAAATATATGAAACAATTATTACTATGAAAGAAAAATCAAATATATGAAACAAGAATTAAATATATAAAATAATTATTACTCTAAAACAGTAATCAGAAATTTCAATCAAGTATGTAGAACAATTATTAATATAAAACAAAAATTAAATAATTAAATTATATGGGTTAAAATAAATTTAATTGCTAATTATAATGATTGTTGGAAGTACTGAGGGAAAACTACAGCTGAAGGTTCTATATTTAAGCCTTCGAAACTACTACTGCAAATTGATTACGCTAATTCTCGTTGCTCTAATTTCAGTATAATTAATATAGAACAATAATCAAATATGCACTTAAATATCTATGCGTATAGATATATATTTTTATGTAGCTATATTTTTATGCATATGGATATTTAATTGTTATATATTTCATCTCAGGCGGGCCCATGAAAATCCGTTATGATGAAACTTGTCGTTACATTACGTAATAATAGCGACATTACGTAATAATAGCGAACATTTTTTCTATAAGTTTGGTATTTATATCTAATGCCATTTTAATTTTCCAGTATATTCGGTATATCTCCTTATATCTTATGAAATACATTTTAATTTTCCTTCTTTCTTTTTATTTATTTTAAATAATTTCTTTTAATATATAATTTGTTACTGTGCCTGCTTAATTTATTTTTATCAAGTTTATAAGTCATTTTCATCCTCGTTTCCGCATGCCTTGGTGGTGTGTAATTGGAAGCATACTTGACGCGTATTCTAGAGGTCAGGATTCGAGTGCCGGCGAGAGCATTACACATTTTTCACATCCCCCCTCAAAGAAAAACCTACCTAATGACTCTGCAGTGGTGCCTGAACGAAAAGGTGGTGGACGATAATTCGTCACACCAGGATTTGGAGATTGGGTACCCTCATTCCCAGTCGCAAAAGAGAAAGGGGGAGTATAATAAGGTATTTTCTCTCTCCTTTCCGAATGCCTTCGTGGTGTAAGTGGAAGCATACTCTACGCGTATTCGAGAGGTGCAGGATTCGAGCCTCGGCGAGGGCAGTACACATTTTTCACATCTCTGCTTAAAATAAAAATATAAATAATGTACTGTGTAATCTTGTAGCTCATTGTACAAATTTAAAAAAAAAAAAAAAAAACGTTTATTTTTATAAATTCTTTCTTCTCTTTTCATTAGGTGCTTTCGTGGCTGTGTAGAAAAGGGAATGAGTCTTTGGAAAAGCACCAAGCTATCGCAGATTCCTTGGGAGCTATCAAGCAGCAAGAAGAAGAATTCGAAAAGTTCTATTTCTTGGCCATGGTGAGTCTTTTATTTTTACCCTCTTTTCGCAAAAATCATTTTCTTCAGTCTGGACAGCGCAAATTCGAAATTTGAACAGATATTGGAATTTAAAAAGAAAAAGAAAAGAAAATCTGTCCAAAGGGGAACGTTTTTTCAAACTTTTGTGAGTTATATTTATTTATTAAATGTTCTTTGCAGTTAAACCATAAAATTCAATTTATCAGCAATATCGCAAAATAATTTTAAAATGAGCATATCTTTAGAATTTCCGATACACAGTCTTGCGCTATGTCCCCCCGTATATTGTTGCCATTGCTCGCTTTGAAATCGTTGAGTTTGTTAATCAAAGGTTCGTTGAAGTGTTACAAAATATGAAATCGATAATAAAACAAATTCCAAATTTGTGCTTTCAGATGCCCATATTCGAGTGGAGGACTACGTTATTCAAAATTTAATGTCTGTAGGAGCCGTTGTTTTTTCATAATGGGAGAAACATACATGCATTCATGCCGATTCTTCATTGCTTTATTTCTTTAAATATAATGCAGGGCTCTAATATTTTATGGAAACAATTTGAAAAGTGAACCGACATTTAAATAATGCCCTTTAGGCTGAAAACAAAAAAAAAAAAAAAAAAAAAAAAGGCGAATAAAGTAAAACAAAAAGAACGAGAGGAATTCGATAACGCATTCCTTCAGACTGCAGATTAATGCTTGAATTGGGTCATACACTTTGAATTTTCTTGAACTGTGTCATACACTGTCATGGTTTAAAGATGAAATTTAATTCCATTCATAAAGTCGAGTTTTTTTACTAATGAAATATATTTACTTGTAGGTATGTATGATAAGTAAACTAAATGCATAGATTGAAGTGGGAAGATACCAAATATTTCGCTTTTCTTTTGAAATAAAAATAATTACTACTGTTGCCCTAAATTCTATGTCAAATTAAACAAGGATTGTAAAGATCGCAGAATTCTAAGAACCGGATTTAAAACTCTAATCTGGCTCTGCAGAAAAATCTCACAAATATTTCGTTTCTCTTTAAAATAAAAATAATTCCTGTTGCTGCCATCCTTTACTGAACTAAGTTGGAATTGTACAGATTGCAAAATTCTAAAAACGGATTTTAAAATTGTAGACAGCGCAAAATCTCACAGATATTTCGTTTCGCTTTTTAAATAAAAACAATGCCTATTGTAGCCATTTCTACCGAATGGACTATGAATTAAAAAGATTGTAAAATTCTGTGAACAGATCTTTGCTGCAATACAGATCAGCGGGAAATCGACAAACATTTCGCTTCTCTTTTTATATAAAGTAATTCCTACTGCTGTCGCTAATTATTTGCCGAATTAAATAGATATTGTAAAGATCACCAAATTCTACTTTCCTACATAATAAATCAGTCGTAAAAATATTTCGTTTCTTTTTTTTTTTTAATAAAAATAATTTGCCACTGATTCTTTAGCCAAGTAAACAGAAATTGTGAATGTTTCAAATTGTTAGCGTTCATTTAAAAATAAATAAATAAAATAAAATAAAAATTACTTCATTTCTTTTAAATAATTGTTCAAGTCAATAATAAAAGCACGTCGAAGATTTCTGCCGTCGACACTAATGTTTTTCATTTAATTTTTTAAAAGTTTTTGATTCTTTGAAATAATTTGGCAAGTCCTAGTTACAAATAATTAAGTTCATGAAGAAGATTTATACTGTTGCATTTAACTAACTCCTAGCATTTCTCTAAATCTTTCGAAATTCCCCAGGAATTGTAATAGCGATTAATGATCAAATGTAGATTCTAGAATATGCGCGTTGATCGGCAATTTTCCTTTTAGGAATTCGTAACAATATATTTGCATGAAGAATAAGGTTGGGTTTTCCACCATCAATAACGTTGTGTTCTCAGAAGGATAAAGAAAAGTTTACAATGGTTTATTTAACGTAAACCTTGAGATCCAATGAAATAACAATGATTAATTTGCATTACTGGTATGTTTCGCCGTGAGAGAATTATCATTATACATTACACATCATTGACTGATCTGTCATGTATATTAATTCGCCCGGAAAGTGAATGAAATAAATTTTGTTTAGCATTCCATTGCTGGTATTGTATTTGAGAATCGTTCTTGGGCCTTTTTCCCGTTTCTGTAAACATTTGAATATTATACGAGAAAATAAACTAAATTGTCAACATTTGCAAATATATACAATTCCAGAGCAGAATATGGAACACGTAAAATACGTAGAACATGCTATAAAACAGAGTAGAATGTAGAATAAAAGTACAGTAGAATAGAACATTTGTCTCAAAAACTATTAATCGCTTTATGTTCCTCAAAATTACAAATTCTGAATTGTCTATTAATTAAACTATTAACTATTAATTGTCTGACTATAGTTGTAAACTAACTGTTACCTATTATAAAAGTATTAATTTATTAATTATATCACTATCAAGTATCTCAAGGCTCTGCATTGTCTAATGATCCTTAAAATGATAAATCCGATTGTCTAGTTCTCGAAATGATTAATTATTCATTGTCTACCGATTAAACTACAGCTATTAACGTTTTTTAAATAGTCAGACCTGCATAAAAAGTGTTCATGAACTGCGACTAAGGTTTGTCTTTTAAAACATTTTTTATATGGTTGACTCGTATTAAAAGTGACGATGACTCGAAATCGGACGTTATACTCTGAAAACCTAAAGTGTATTTGAAAATTGACGAAAACATAAAACTTGACGTATACTGTAGCTTAAGCCCGTCATCAGTTAGCACATTTTGTAGTGAAACGTACATAAAAAACAGGTCTTGTAACTTGAAAAACTGAAGTATACTTAAATGGTGACTACAGCATAAAACCTGACGTATACTATAGCTTAAAGCCATCATCTCTAGCGCAGTTTGTGTTTAATGGTACGTTGTGACTTAAAACCTGAAGTATATTGTTACGTGCGTACGGGTATGGGATGGATTAAATACCCACAGAACTGATAATAGCGTGAAGGAATGCATTTTCCCAAAACACTTTACAGTTCTAGAACTTAACACAAAAATACTTATGCAGCTCTTCTCTGTATAAAACCACAGTTAATATTTACCACTTCACACTACTAAGAATGTGCAACTTAAACAGTGCAAAGAGCATCTATAAAGCGAAGCTTCCGCGAAGATCTCTCAATACTCCGAAGTCTACTCTGAACTATAAAACTGAAACCTAATGCGCTCTTTGGGCTTATATAGTTTTTCCCCGGCTACCGAGAATTCTGTAGTACGTTCCATTTCTTGAAATCACTGGAAGCCATATACGATTAAAGTTATATATAAGGGCAGATACGGTTACAGTTACATAGAGGAGTCAATATCAGTATCAATTATAATTATACAGGGACCAGACCGAAATGTCGACTAGTCGTCAAGTTTGGCTACTTTTCGCCATTTCTTTCCAAAGTGACAAAACTTAGTCGCCAAAACCATCGCCAGCTTGGCAATATCTCGCCAGGTTAGCGAGAACCTCAATGTTAAATAGACTAACCCCTGTAACTTTATATTTTCGGCCTAGCTTGCTGTTTTTCAAATATTTCATGTTATATTATACAAAAGATACTACAATTTTACATATAATTTCACTATAATTGTTTACATGTATACAAATTTCTTAACAATATTTCAAAAGTGAATATAATATAAAACGATGTATACTGTAGCTTAAGTCTGTCATCTGTAGAACAGTTTCAAATCAGCCGTACAGAGCCTGAATTGCGCTGGAGCCCTTCACTTCTTTCATGTAACTGAAGCACAGTTTCAGCAGAATATTCTTTATGTCTTGAAAATTTTATTTTAATAATAAGTTTACCTTAAAAATCGATTTTAACTGAATATATGCCTGTCTTTCTCTGGGAAACTAGCTCTTTGGTGGTCAAGAGTAGAAAAGACCTCACCCACACGTCAAAAGCTTTTTTCTCCAGGAAGTGCAAACTATTTATGGGAGCGAATTTTTAGTTCCCGAAAATACTAGAAGTCGAATTTTTAGAAAGATATAATTAAATAAGGCGGACAAAAATTTTCACTCGCACGAACCTTATTTTTGTTCTCAGTTTACAACTCGGACTTCGGAGGATAATTCGGAGAACATTTTTTTTTTTTTTTTTTTTAATTCCTGTCACGTTCTGCTCGACAGCTAGAATTATATCGGCAGGAATTGTGTTCAGAGAGTACTATATTCTTCTTTCTTTGTTTTCTCACCTACACATTTGCGTTACAATTTCCTGTGGCCCATGGAGGTAAGAAAGTTAACTTCCTACCTACATGCTTTTTTCGCCCCAGAATTCCTTCCCTCTTCGCCGGTAAGCCATTGCGGATCCCTTATCAGTTCCCCTTTTGGTGATTCTTTCTCTCCATCTAGTTCTCCTTCTTTCGATTCTCTTCTAATAATATGAAGGGGATTTCAAATTCTTTGGTAGGAGATATCCCTCCGATAGTAACCCTTCCTGCGTAGTTCTTGAATTCAAGCATATCTGCATGATTTTCTTACAACTTCTTTGAGTAAAATATTCTACATAACAATGCAGTGTAAATATCAGTAGGCTGTATGTTGGTTATGGTTAATAGTTGGTTGGTTTGGTTATGGTTAATGTATTGATATGGTTATGACTGAACTCTACAAACTCTTTTTACTCAAATTTAGAAAACTATATAGTATTCTAAATTTTAAGTTCTTTGATTACGAATTTACGAAATAAAGTACCGTTATACGATATTTAGCAATTTACTTTATTAGCAATTTATGTATTATATTAGTAATGATGAATGCTTTAAAAATATCAAAGATGGAGCTTTCTACTGAGGATGAATTTCTGTTTCTCGTGAATTTCCTTATGAAACGATAGTTTTTCAATTCAGTTCTGTATAATTCGCGGTACAACAGAATAGCTTCAATTTTAAGACAATTTATTGCTGCGACGTTTTTCATCTTGTGTCTCGAGAATCATGATTTTAATTCATT